ACTCTTTTTCAGTGTTCAGTGCTGACCATCCATTCCTTTTCTGCATATACAGCCTTTCTTTAGATATGTTAATGTCATCTATTTAATTCAATTAAAAAATATTTTGAAGTCCCTACTACCTGCTGGGCACTACACTAGACACACTAAGCATATAAGATTAGAGAAGCTACGAGCCAGCCACATCTTCAAGAGTTCATCTTTTACTGAAGAATTTTTCTTCTCCTGCTATTGACCTTGGAGACTGCCCATCCTTTAAAAAAGTGTCTTTGGCATGTACTTCATTTTACCCATTCTGTGAGGATGTTATTTACGTTTCAGAGTTATAGAAATATTTTACCATTATCCTTAGGCACCGAATATCCTTATCTATTTTATTTATTTTTCCTTAGTTGTTGTTGTTGTTTTTGTTTTCTTCTGTTTTGTTTTTTTGCTATAGGGCACGTGTGCTCACCAGAGAGAAAGAAAGTGGGGATGGCCACACAGCAATCCCTTCTCCTCCATTCTCGGAATTTTGGGCATGAATGCACACACGCCCAGCCTGAGTTTCAGGCCGCTGGGTCTGGGACTCAAACTGCAGTCAACTAGGTGGGAGTCCAGCAACATAACCATTATGCCACCTGCTGATCCCTTCTTGCCTATTTTGTATGAGAAGTCAACTGAAGTACAGTAGAGTTAACTAGCTTGCCTGAAATCAGTAAGTTAATAAGTATTGGAGGTCAAGATTCAAATTCTATATCTTTCAGACTCCAAAGATCACACAATCTTTTTCTATTCCACACAGTCTCTAAAAAAAGCCAAAAACTCTGAGAGAAACATGTAAAGTGCCTAGGACAGTTCCCGACATATCCCCTAATTTGATTACTATGTCTGCTAAACTAAAATCAGCAATCTCACATTATAGATTTGTGTAGTTTCTAGATGTACTATTAACTATTAGACCCCCCAAATCTAAAAAGCTAGAAACAAAAAACCTTCATTTCAGTAGGTCAAGGTCCAATTCATTGCTATTTAGTAAACTTATAAAACAGAATGAAAACTCAGATTACTTTTCTAGTTGAAAGCTGTAATTTCAGCAAATATAAGGCCCTCTTAATATCTAACATATTTAAATTTTACTTCATTCTTTAAGATTTATTAAAACATATTAACAGTAAAAAAATCAAGTAAATAAAGTTCATGTAAAAAGTGCACAAGGGGCAGTATTCCAAATCATCTAAAGCTTACATGATATATTCAACTGATAATGTGTTTTCCTTTATGCTGAATTATTAAAAAGAAATATTTCTTAATCTATTATCATCTATTCATTTCTTATGTTTCTCATGAGCTATAATAGTTCATTACAATTGATAGGGAAGATTCACTAAGCGGCAAAATTACTTAAATATAAAACCTAGCGTATGTATAAGAAAAATGTAAAGAATCAGGAAAGTGAGAAGAGGAAATGGAGAAGAGAGACTATTAGGTGGGAGCACAGTGAGAATATAAACACCAGAAACTGCAATTCATCAAACAGGAAGTCCTGAAATCACATGACATGCAGGAAAATAAAATTTAAAAATAAATAAAAAAAGGGGCAAGGTGGGCAGGCTCAACAGTGCCTGGGGGTGGGGGGAATGAAAAGGTTTTAAATAGATACACTGTAAGTCTTTAAAAAGAAAAAAAATGCAAGAATAAGATATATTTAAATAATACGGTGACAGAGATACTTTCGCTTTCTAGTTATGTTTTCCTAATATTTACTCAGTAATCACATTAACATTTATCCAATAACTGTTAAGTATTTAAAGAAAATAGTTTCTTCCTAAAGTATATAATCAAATATTTACACGAGCAGTTTTCCTCCAAAGACAACAGAAAAATTCAATATATTATATTTACAACTAAGATATACCATCAGAGTTAAATTGATCTTACCCATTAATGTTGCTAAAAGACACAAGGAGTACATTTCTTTGTCAGCTTGCTCCTGAAGTTCCTTAGATGACAATTTCCCAGTAACAGCAATCTCTTCTTGTTTCACAGTGTGGGCTGAGTGTGCTGCAGCAGACTGACCACCTTCCGCTTTACTCTTTAGAATCTCTATTGTAATTCTGTCACCATGCTGTAAAGGAACTGGCTCCTTCTCCATTCCTGCCTGTGGTGGCATTAACTCTTTAGGAGGAAAGCCATATCGAATGCACTGTAAATATGGAGGAATGCTGAATTCTCTGGCTATGCTTTCCTGAAGTTCAAAAAAGGTTGTTGAAGACTTAAGTGTAACCATGGACTGTCGTCCATCATTAGTTGTTATTCGGATCTTCTTTTCCTTAGAAGTTGTAGGTGAATAGGGAGCCTTGGAAGGGGTAGCAGGTGCAGAGGATGGACCATCACGAATGGTACTGGGAGATACAGTCCTGGGCTGCCCTTTTTGTTCTTGCTTTAACTTCTCTGTCTTCCGTTTCTGCATTACAGAAGCCTGTTCCGTAATATTCTGTTGAATAGTTCTTTCAGTTTTACTCATGTTTAATTCCTCCTTGTGCAAAGTTTTCGTTTTCTGTCCAGTAAGAATAATTTTAGTTGGGAGCTGAGACTCTGGTTCTTGTCCTTGGAGATCTCCAATTCTTTGGGCATGAGCACCATCTATATTTACAGGAGTATAATCATCTGGATTCTTTTTGGCAGTCTGATGCAGTATAGTGTGGACAACTTTTTGAACTAGGATTTCACTCCCAAATTCACCTGGAAAGTGCTTGGTAACAAGTTTCATTGCAACATCATAAACATTACTATTCAAAGATGAATCGCTTTCATACTGAAACCAATATACTGTTTCTCTGACCACTCTTCCACCCCATTCCAAAGTAATAGGGAAGGCTTCTGGTAGATTGTCATACTCTTTACCATCCCAAAAATGTTTGAATCCACAACCACATTTGCCACCAGTGGACCTAGAATTAGTTCTGTCTCCATCCAAATACACAATAGACCCATCTCCTCTAACCCTTCGCACAGATGCGCCATGGCACCAATTGCAAGCTGTTAGGTTACTCAGTCCATAGTCTGGTACCAGAACATCTTTGATTGAATCATATGAGCAAACCAAATTGTTCAAAGGAAAGCTATAATTTTTATCAGGCCTCAGTTGTCCATGAGTACTTTTTGCAAGGTTATACAGTTTCCCTCCTGGAGCCAACCACTCTGGAGGAACATGAAGTTCAGAAAGGGCACCACAGAGCAAACATTTATGAAGGCGATTATCCATTACTGCTTTTTTAGCAGCTGCTGTGACTTCTTCAGGCTGAACTCCTATCACCCCAGTCCTTCGGTAGAAATACTGATGGACATCAGCAACCAAACTAGGATGGATACCATGTTTGTCCATAAAGACTTCTTCCATAGCAGCAACAAGCCTAAGTAAATATTTATCTTGCAAACTTCTGTCTCCTCCAATAACACAACCACCATCTTCCTCCAGCTTGATGTACTTTTTAATAAGGTCCTGAGGCACACCCCATGCTTTAGGAAGCAAATTCATGGGCAGTTTGGGCAAAGCAGCCCCTTTTATGCCTACTAAGGGGATATAATGATTTCTACCAGAGCTGCTCCATGCAATACAGATTGGCTTGTTCAAATGACCATCTCTCCCAGTACACTGCTCTGCAGGGATGAGCCCAGGCAGAAAAGTAGCTGAATAATCGCCAGAGCTTCTCATGCCACTCAAGGAATCTAACAGAATAATAGGACGATGTAACACATTGGCAAGGCCAAATATGTGGATGTTTCTCAGGCCCAAAGGAACACCCTCAGGTGGTACAAACAGAGGGTCACACTCATTGATGATGTCCTCCCACTCAGCAGCATCAATGAAGTCATGGAACAGGGCTTGATACCGGGCCAGGTGCTGTTGAAAGTGCTGTTTAAGATTCTCTCTCAAGGCATGCCAGAAAAGCTCTCGGCCTACTAAAGCCCGAGATACAGCATGCACCAGGCAGTGTCCATCCCCATCCACATGCACTGGAATGAGGCACTCCTGACTTTTATTGGCCCGCTTAATGTCCTCAAGAGTGTCATGCAAATATAGGAGGCTTCCGGAGCGGTCCTTGCCGTAGCCCACCGTGTTAACATGCTCTGGTTCTATGAGAAAGGCTCGGTCACCCAGTAAAGCACAGTCGAACAGTTCACCCTGGTTCATGTCCCGAAGAAGCTTGGCCCGGCCTGTCTGTTTGTCCATACCATAGCGAGCTAATATGGGCGACAACAATTTGCAGTGGTAGTTGGAAAGGCCCATCACCTTTACCAGTTCCGTGTTCTTCTTGGGTGCCCCTGTTACCCCGAGCAGCGCGTTCCGCAGCAGGTTGTGCAGCACTACGTCCGGGTCGGTCACCTCCTCCACCCCCAGCAGCTGTTGCTGCTCGTGCCGCTGTCCGCACTCGGTACACTCGATGCTGACAGAACCGGAGGCCGGGAAGAACAGACGCGCCTGGCACTTCGGATCCGGGCAGCTCCCGGAAAGGATTCTCCGGTCTCTCCGCTTCGAGAGCCCCCCCGGAGCAGCCGCCGCCGCCGCCGCCAGGGACGAAGAAGTCTGC